GGTATGGTCTTCTGGAATTTAGCGGATACCGTTACCGCGTAAAAAGTTTCACGCGTGTGTTACAGGGAATGTAGAACAATATTATATACTCTTGAAGCTTTAAGTGTTCTCAAATGTTTAATTCCACACTCGCAGTATTCAGAAGGAAGGACCAGCAGCTGCAAAGATCGTTTTAATATTATGTTATTTTTGTTTTCCTTATCGGAGAAAAATCTGTATGTTCTTACCCACAAAATTAATTGTAGCAAAACCAAAAGGCAGTGTGCAGGGCTAGGATTATTAATTCAGACAGAACCACTATGCGTATTAACTGTTGACATGTCATTTGTTTTGTTGACTTCCCTTGCGTGTATCGATGGGGGTGTAAAAACACAATATACATAAGGGGAAGAAAAATGTTCCCATGAACAGTCCAGTGTAGTGGCTCCTCGCCTTCCCTGTAGGGTTTTTTTCGTATTTTTGTAGTAGGAAAGAAATTTTTTGGGCAGGGGGGTCTGAGGTCATGGAGGACATGTGGTAGCCATTCAACGTGTCTTGATATATAGTCCTGTTGTCCTATTTCTCTTCAGACGAGAGGTTTCTCACCCAGGCTGAGGAGTTTGTCACAGCTGGGTTGCCCATACGACTAGCGTGCAACACTTCGCTAGGAAATCGAACAATTCCAAGATCAAGGCTGGAGTGGTACAAGGACGGGGTCAACATCCAGTCCAACAAACACATTCTGCTGACCAGGTACCAGTTCGAGACTGACCGGATGTACGTCAGTGAGCTGTTGATCGACAACGCGCGCCTGTCAGATTCGGGCCTCTATCTGTGTCGATTGAAGGATCATGATCTCTTCGTCGCTAAAATTTACGTGCTTCCAGGTCAGCTTTTTAACCACTTATTTTTACCGTATTCTGGGTCGTTTGCAAGTCATTCTATTACTGTTATATGTTAACTTCTAGATTTGTTACCCTGTGGCACGTGGTATCATAATATGTTCAAATACCTGTTAGGTTTATGAATCAGTCTTAAACGATTATAAATCTTTTACGCCCCCATCGACACAATTTAGGTCCTGTCTGTGAGGGCTAATTGGAAGCTGGATACAGTATCCCAGCAAACAGACGAAGATACTGGATATGATAGACTTCTCTAAGAGAGGGGATCAATCCCGCGGACTCACGTTGGCGCGTTCGACACTTTAATCACTCGACAAGGATGCTTTTTTTTGTTGTTGTAGTTGTTGTTTGTCTATACTCACAAATCAGATGGGGGGATGCTGAACAAGATACTCGATGAAAAAATATCTCCACAAACGGGATTCGAACTCATGTCCGGTACTACGACGACTAAACAATAACAACATCAACAAAGAAAAACATTGGAAGATGAATAAAGGCCACAGTAAAAAGACTTGTGCGTTTTCCACTTTTTAATAGACTGACAAAAATCTTGTCGTATGTTCTCTTTTACTCTGAATAACACATTACATAACAACTTGACCTTAAAACTGCTGGGCTGTATCCCCGCAATCTGCACCGTTCTGCACGCAGAGTTCGGCCCTTCAAGTTCTAAGAACACGAAGTTTGGATCACTTCCTTATGAAGTTTATTTGCGTTTGTTTGTTTTTATTTTTGTGTGTGTGTGTTTATTTGTTGGTTTGTTGGGGATGTCCTTTTCTGGGGGGGGGGGGGGGGATTGAAGAGGAATGTGTTCTCAAAGTTCCTTTAAAATGACGAGCACAAAATATTTCACAAACTAGTTCTAAAACTGAAGGACAGAGGGGAAAAAATCAATCACTAGAAACTTTTAAAGCTGAAACTTCGGTTTGGACTAGCAATCTGAATAATTCAAATGAGGATTTCAGGGTTGACCGAAGTGCACTTTAACTAAAAGAACGCATTTAAAACTGGGGGGAAACTCACTTTTACCGCCTCGCGTTTCGGGGGCCCACTTTTTCAAACAAATCGATAGTGTATTTGAGTTGAAAATAGACAGTACTGAAAGATGGATTTCCTTTGGAGACGACTATACAGCTACTCAATGGGTTTTTTCTTTTTTAATTTTCTCTTTTTTTTTCTTTCTTTTTTTTTATTTTGTATTTTATTTCGGGCTTTGTTTTGTTTTGTTTGTTTGTGGTGGAAAAAGGGGGGGGGGGGGGGGGGGCTTTTTGGTCATCGGTTTCTTGCCGCTTTTTCTGGAAGGAGTAAAAATAAAATGTTTACTAGTCTAATAGTCTATATAAAATGACTAAATGAGAAATGAAGCGTAGAAGTAGAAGGAATGTGTTACAGGAGCGTGTCTGTGAGAGCACACAGGTAAAAACTGTCTATCACTGACAGACGATACTACTTTTGTGTCCTCAATTGTTGTTTCATTGCGTATTCCATTTGGTCTCTTCCATATAATGATAACGTATATTTAGTATTAATTGATTTGTACTTTATAGATAAAAGAATGACTGAAAACAGATTTTACAATACTAACCAAGTTTTGAATAATGAACTTTGGATTGATCTATTTATTGATTTATTGATTGATTTATTAGTTGATTAATTGATTGATTGATTGGTTGATTGATTGATTGATTGGCTGGTTGACTGGCTGGTTGGCTGGTTGACTGGTTGACTGGTTGATTGATTGATTGATTCATTCATTCATTCATTGATTGGTTGATTAGCTGGCTGGATGGCTAGGTTGGCTGGCTGGATGGCTGGTTGGTTGGTTGGTTGGTTGGTTGGTTGGTTGATTGGTTGGTTGGTTGGTTGGTTGGTTGGTTAGTTGGTTGGTTGGTTGATTGGTTGGTTGGTTGGCTGGTTGGCTGGTTGGTTGGTTGGTTGAATAGTTAATGGAGTGTGCAAGTCTATGTGTACGAGGAATAAATGTTTATGTGTTTGTGTGTGTGTGTGTACGCGCGTGTGTATGTTTCTGTGTGCGTGTGTATATGTGCGATTGTATGGGTGCGTGTGTATGAGTGTATATATACAGGAGTAATGAGAGAGAAACAGAGAAGGAGAGAGAGAGAGAGAGAGAGAGAGAGAGAGAGAGAGAGAGAGAGAGAGAAAGAGGAGGAGGGGGTGAGAGAGAAAAAAAAGAAAGAGACAGACAGACAGACAGACAGACAGACAGATAGACAGACAGACAGAACATGTTGTGTTTGCAAACACCATATTTCAGTACTGAACGGTCTTCTTTTGTTATTTCTCTGCAGACTCTAAGATTAACGGGCCCAAACAAGAGAGGGACGATCGCTCTAAAATCTACGGTAAGCAATCCAACGTTAACGGGGTCTATGGTGTAACAGTGAGGCGCTTCTCTGTTGCATAAACACGGAGTGTTTATGGCGCAAGCAACTGCATGGGGCCATACGACACTTTCACATTTTCAGTTTGGTAGGCATTTATTTCAAATTTTGCCCGGGTGACGGCCAGAGCCCAATCGAATTTGGACCACCAATGGACCTTTAACGTGCGCAGCTTGCACACGGGGCCTGTGAGATTTTTTGGCCCTTATCCGAGAAGGCTAGGTGCGAGATCTTACCTACCCTAAGATCAGGGGTGTAGTTGAAAGACAGCAGTAAGGAGCCAAGGTAAAGCTGCTGAAAGAGTCGGGAGCCCACAGGAGCGGGTAAAAAAAAACGGGAGG